CGCTGTTGAAACTGATCAGTTTCAGCAGCGGCTGAATCTGGACGCCAGTTCCGACTTACATACAGATTCAACTTAAGAACAAACCTACAGTCCCGATCTTGTACGTAACCCGGGGACTGCCTGTAAGACCAATATGAGGGAGCATGTGTTTTTCTCCAGTAGAGGTCTTTAGAAGGGGGAGCAGGTTTAAAACTAATAAGCGAAAGTTCTTCTTCACACAGCGTGTAGTCAACCTGTGGTACTCCTTGCCAGAGGAGGCTGTGAAGGCTAAGACTATAATAGAGTTTAAAGAGAAGCTAGATAGGTTCATGGAGGTTAGGTCCATAAAAGGCTATTAGCCAGGGGGATAAAATGGTGTCCTTGGCCTCTGTCTGTCAGAGGCTGGTGAGGGACTAATAAGCGAAAGTTCTTCTTCACACAGCGTGTAGTCAACCTGTGGTACTCCTTGCCAGAGGAGGCTGTGAAGGCTAAGACTATAATAGAGTTTAAAGAGAAGCTAGATAGGTTCATGGAGGTTAGGTCCATAAAAGGCTATTAGCCAGGGGGATAAAATGGTGTCCTTGGCCTCTGTCTGTCAGAGGCTGGTGAGGGATGGCAGGAGACAAATCGCTTGATCATTGTCTTCGGTCCACCCTCTTTGGGGCACCTGGTGCTTGCCACTGTCGGTAGACAGGATACTGGGCTAGATAGACCTTTGGTCTGACCCAGTATGGCCGTTCTTATGTTAAGAAGCTGCTGTCAGCTGATGTCTAGGCTTGTGGTGAGGACACAAATGTTTCTGGTCTTTTGAAGATTCCTGCAGCTGTTCTGTTTTCTGCGTGAGCCTCTAGAATTTGTCTAGTGTTTATAAAGCTGCTGCTTTTCTTAAATTCTAATTAGGATAGACTGCTTTGTCACTGATGGGAAGAACACCCCCACAAAAAAAGAATCCTATTGTAGGTTCAGATATGTTTATATTGTATAGCAGAAATACATAGTTGAAAACCATCTTCAATGTTCAATAGTACCAGTCACTAATTTTTGAACATTGAAACATGGAAGCAATTTAGATTCTGCAACGAGCAAGAATTTCAGTGAAAGATACTCAGACACATGGTGGTTATCATATTATTAAACTGTTATTCCCCCGTCACATTGTATTTAGTCTCTCTAATGTCCTCATATAGATTTGCCTTTGCATGGTATTTATTAATCTCTTGCAAAATTAGCATGACTTGTCAGTATTGTGGATCTGAGTCTGTCAAATTAATGTAATAATAACATTGGGTACGGCCCACTTATAGCAATGACACTTTGTATCACAGGATTATAGACAGTCTAATTTTCTCCATCGAAAGCTGTTACAGATGTAAAGGGAAAATTGATATCCATGTACCTGTTAAATTCATGCAGTATATTTAAACTGTCTTTCCTGTTAGCAGATCAAATTATGTAAATAAATGCTTGCTCATTTTAAGTTAGAATTTAATCCACTGATTAAATAGCCGTGTTGAATTTAATTAACGTGATTTGCCATATTTAAAAATTAGTACAAGGGATGAGGGAAAGAAGAGAAAGGAAGGGTAATGGCAGTAAAAAAGTTATGATTATATTTCTAACAGTATATCTTCTTACTTACCACACTCTTGTCCAACTCTTTTTAGCAATTGAGGATTGATTTCATGGAACTTAAGCACAAATGCTTTGCTGAACAGAGACCTATGCCCAACAGTGCTGCTTCTACATTTGAACCTTGGAAATCTCATGAGGCCTACATTGTCCATTTCACCCTTCCTATATTACAAGAAACCCATTTTAGCAGGAATCCAATTAACTCCCCATCTCTATGTGTAGTAATTTTATTTATTTCTAGACATTGATTACCTAATACTTTGTGAATGGTTACAGTTTAAAAATATTGTTGAGTTTTCAAGACAGAAACTGAGACTGTACCTTGCAAAATGTTGATGCTGCTGGACTTGCCATAACTTCTTTGCTATTTTTCCTTTAAGGTTAAGGAGCCTGAATGTATTCAGCAGTTGTTGAGCCCCTAGAGAATAGCATGCCATAGCCTTTTATAAAGTGAAATGTAAATATCTCTTTAATTATAAAATCATGCCCTCTCCTTCAATGGACAAATGTAATATAAAACCATATCATTATTACTAAGGGGCTGTGTCTAGACTGGCCAGTTTTTCCGGAAAATCAGCCGCTTTTCTGAAAAAACTTGCCAGCTGTCTACACTGGCCGCTTGAATTTCCGCAAAAGCACTGACTTCCTACTGTAAGAAATCAGTGCTTTTTGTGGAAATACTATGCTGCTCCTGTTCGGGCAAAAGTCCTTTTGCGCAAAAGTTTTGCGCAAACAGGCCAGTGTAGACAGCTCAGCTTTGTTTTCCTCAAAAAAGCCCCGATCACGAAAATGGCGATCGGGGCTTTTTTTGCGGAAAAGCGCGTCTAGATTGGCACGGACGCTTTTCTGCAAAAAGTGCTTTTGCGGAAAAGTATCTGTGCCAATCTAGATGCTCTTTTCCGAAAATGCTTTTAACGGAAAATTTTTCCGTTAAAAGCATTTCCGGAAAATCATGCCAGTCTAGACGTAGCCGGGATGTAAAATCCCATTTAATTGGCTAACTGGCAGTATCTGCTGGGTAGGAACACTATCTTGTCCCCCTGCCTCTGTCAAGGGCTGCTCCAGTGTCCTGATCAGAGCAGCTCCTGCCTGTGGGGTGCCCAGGCCCACCGTGGACAGAAAGTGCCTGAAGCAGCCCCTACCTGCGAGGCATTCTGGCCCACAATAGGCAAGGGCTGCTGCTAGAGCAGCCTGTCCATGGCATGGCCCACAATAGGCAAGGGCTGCTGCCAGAGCAGCCTGTCCAGGACCTCCTCCCCCATCGTGCCCCTTCCCTGTGGGGCTGCAGCAGTCTCCTGCCTGCAGCAGGTGGGGAGCTGCTCCAGCTGCACCTGTTAAACTTTCACATCCCTAATTATTACATAGTGTGGTGATATTTCCTGTGGGGCTCAATGATTTATCATTAACTTTAGTAGTTTTGAAACCATTCCCATGATTTTTAGGAGTCATCTTTCCAAAGGTCATCCTGTTTTTATTCTAAGCAGTTTAATACAGATTATATGCAGATCATTTAGACCTGTTCTGCATATTTGCTTTGTGAAGTTCATGAGATATTCGATGTGCTATACTGTTGGAGTATCAGTATCTTCTGAGCCATCAGTGTTTTGTTTGGTTATGGAGCAAACAGACTGACAAACTTGGGAAATTTGTGTGTTTATGTATAAAAATGAATATAGTTCCCCATACACTGTGTAAAAAGGCTCTTTCCTAAACAAATTTGGATAGGTAGGCATTCATGCCATGCATGCTTTGCTAATTTATTTGTTCTGTTTTGTTTAAATATGACAAAATAAATTATAAAGTTTTTGAAAAGGTTATTCAATTAAAAATCTCTGTTAATAAGTTCCAGTTAGGACACATGACTACCTATCATAGGCTTCATAGAATCAGGCATTGGTGGAATTGTGCCCTAATTTATTACTACTATATGTCGCAAGTTAGGATACCTATGTTTCTAGGTAGTCAAAGGGTTTTAAAAAACTGAAAATTTTGCTTATAGTCACATACAGGATCATACACTACATGGACTTTAGACATGCTTTACTCTGCCTGGAGCGAATATTTCAGTAAAGGATTAGGATTAGAATATTATCCTTTAATCAGTTACATTAATTTAGTTGTGTACTCTCCAATGGAAACACGAGAAACTTGTCCAATGATTATAGAGGAAAAAAGTGTTTTTTACAGGAGTATTATTGTAAAGCTGCTTCTTTTCAGATTTGTTTCTTTGAGTTTGTTTTGTTGTTTTCATGCCTGATCTCTTCTGCTTTTTATTTTTCCCCACTTGTTTCACTTAGGCGCACTTATGTTGGCAGTATGCCTGGTCGAATAATCAATGGCTTGAAGACTGTTGGGGTTAACAATCCAGTGTTTCTGTTAGATGAGGTTGATAAACTGGGGAAGAGCCTTCAGGGAGATCCTGCAGCTGCTTTGCTTGAGGTAAGATATGGAATCATCATATTCATACTGCCACATCCTGTAAATTAAAAAGATTGTTTCATTGCAGACTAGCAGAGTTTTGAATATCATTCTTGGGAAGAAAGTGTTAGTTTGGTGATGACACAGTTGGACTTTTATTGAGTGAAAGACAGGCTGAAATGATTTTGCATACTGTTAGTTATCTCAGAGATGATTAGATCTTCTGCCTTTTCTCATACATAGTGCAAATTCTACAGGCTGGACATCTTCTAAAATACATATTAAGATAGAATTCTTTAACTTTTAACTTTTTCTGATTCAAAATGGCTTTTTTTACACATGCTCAACATAGTATTTTAAACTTCAAGTAAAAAGTGAGACATTTTAAATGTACCAAACTTGGTTCTGTTAAGAATACTCTTACACTAAATGACAGAAGTGTTTAATCACATAAATTGTTATAGATTTAACATTACTAGCAGATGTGAAGAGCCCCTATGGGCCAACCAGCATATGTGCTGATTAAAAAAATCCAACTATACCTAGATTTAACTAATGTTTTCCTTGGAATGTAATCCTTTTTATTTGATTTTCAAGCTTTCAATGGTGCAAGCTAATACTACAGCCAAGTTAATGACTTAGTACAGGGAGGGTCACAAGTGCTTACACTATAGTTGTTTAATTTTAAATTAGTTTTTTTTGTAGTGAACATCTAATTAAATGCAAACAGTTTGCACTTACTTGTTAATCCAATGATCTGAGTGCTTAACTAACAGTAATGGATTAAGCCTCATCAATGGTGAGTAAACAGGAAGAAATGGTTAACTGGTGTGGACTGGAGCAGCCCTTGTCTGCAAGTGTACCCAGGGCCTCTTCAGCCCAAGATTTAAGTGGTTTACTAATTGAATGGATTTTACATCCCTATTACATGTTGCACCTCCCTAACTCTCTGGTCTGGCAACATCTGTGACCAGGCGAGAGCGCCGTAATGGCCAGGAGTCAGGCAGCAGGAGGGCTGGCAGTTAGGAGCCCTGAGAGCCCAGCGGGCCTGGCAGCAGCTGTTGGGGAAATCTCGCTCCCCTGGGGTACAGAGTCCCTAGAAGGGTCTGAGGCTAGAGGTCAAAGCAGTGAGGCAGGAGAGAAATCTAGAAGGAAAACTTTATTATGCATGAAGGCAGGGAGACAGCTACCAGAGTGAGAGCAGCAGCAGCCCTGAGAGACAGGTTCAGGGATCCTTTATACAGTATGTTCAGACAGTTTAGTTGTTGATCGTTTTCTTTAATATATCAAAGTCTCAGCAGAAGTACTCTGAGATGTTTCTGTTCACACCAGAAGTACTAGAAAGTAAGTTTTACAGTTCAAAGGCACATGATAACCTGAGTGAAAAGTCTACAAGGCAACTGTGACAAAGATAAGAGTTTACATGACAAATTGTGACAGACTAGGAGTCTCCATGAAGTTGAGATAGGAGGCATTGTAAGGGTCTTGATTAGAGTTAAGATGATTTCTCTGTTAGAGAGAGAGAGACCTGGAAAACTTTTAACCCTTACAGCAGCTATCTTGTAGAGAGTTTTGATTTCCTCCACAGTCCCCCCCTTTAACACAATTGGAGTTATTTGATTTTTCTCCCACACAGCCCAGCCAGAAAGCTGGGAATCCAGCAGCTCAGCTGGAGAACTGGGGCCACAGTAGCCTGGCAGCTTGGCTGGGGAGCCAGGGCTATGATTGCCAAGCAGGAGTTCTGGGGCTGCGGCAGCAGCATCCCAACCTGAGGACTAGGGCCTGGGAAGTGATATCCTAGCTGGGGCTATGGCCATGGTAGCTTGGCTGCCTGGAGGTGGAGCCGGGGCCTCGGCACCTGGCAGTGGGAAGCTGGGGCTGTGGCAGCCCGGCAACCAGGCAAGACTGGGCCAGTGGCAGGCTGCCCAGCTGGGAATGGTAGCAGAGTAACTGGTGGGGAGCCAGAAATGAATTCAGTAAATTCCCTCGTTCAGGAGTGGTCAGATCCTGAGGGTGCCGGACCAGGGAGGTCCAACCTGTGCAGATCATTAAATTGGGAAAGGGGGGAGGTAGATGACATTTCTAGAAAAATTAGCAGAAATTATCCAGAATACAAGATCTGGAAGTATTGAAGGACTTTAATTATTCAGAGATCTGTTTAAAAAAGTAATATAGAAAAATACAACATTTCTAGTAAGATCTCGGAATGTATTCGTAACGCCTTTTTCTTCCACAAGAGGAGGAAGTTACCAGGGGAACAGCCATTTTAGATTTGATTCTGACCAAAAGGGAGGAATTGGTAGCCAAGCTGATGGTGGAAGGCCATTTGGTGAAAGTGATCATGAAATGATATATTTCTAAGGAAAATGAGAGCAGCAGAATAAGAGCAGTGGACTTAAAAAACCCAGACAAACTCAGAGAACTGGAGGCAAGGTCCCATGGCAGGCCCACTGATGGGTAGAGGGGGAAAGGGCCCAGGGGCATTCAAAAGGGCCCAGGGGCATTCAGCTGCTCCTACTGCAGCCATGACCAGAGCCCCAGGCTCTTTAAATCACTATCAGAGTCCTGTGCAGGTGTTGAGGGCTGCCTGGGGGAGGCTAGCACCCAGCCCTGCCCCTCCCTGGGGGGTGTGGATGCAAACACCTGCCACTGCAAAGCAGATATCTGCAAATTTGTAGACTTCTAGATGCAAAATTTATATCTGCATCTTTGTCCGCAAAAATGAGCTATGGATATTTGCATCCACATCCACAGACACCCATGATTATATGTGAATTTGCAGGGCTCTAGCTATAAAGTGTCCATTCCTGAAATGCATAGAAAACCTCCAAGTATGATGAAACTACAGGCCTTACATGGCAATGAGCTTTAAAAAGTAAGAGGACACATAATAATCAACTTGAGTGTCTGCCCTTTCCAAGACTTCAGACTAAGCTGGGCTGGGCCTCGTCAGTGCTAGGCTGAGAGACATCCCAGGAAAATCTGAGGACTGCAGTAAGGAGTGGAAATGGAAAATGTGTCATCTCGGCTCAACATCTGTAATCTTTTGGATTAAATATAGAAAGTATGACACCTTTCTCAAGAGTATGGGTCCTATCGCCAAAGCTGTATCCAGTTCTACTTTGGTTAGTTTTATTCTACCCATATCCTCCCTTTGTGGTCTCAAAGTGTTCTTCATTTCCTATCTTAGATTACTGAGTAGTGCTCATATACACTATTAAGCATTTTGTACATTTTACCTCTGTAATGGTGGGCATTCCAGTGGAGCATGAAGGAATTTGTATTTTGAGCATACTGAGCCAGATGCATGGTATAAATTGCCTTAGTGCCATTGACTTGAATGACACTGTAATACTGTGCACCAACAGATGAGCCGTCTCATAGTTTGTAAAATTTTGGTTCTCCTATATTCAAAGATCTGACTATATCTCAAGTAAATTTGTTTTAGTTCAGTGTTTAATCAACCCTGTTGTTGATTAGTTTAACGAGTCTCTATTTCTTGATACAAGTCCAGTATGGAAATAAGGCTTTATGTATCTTTTCCTGAACTTATTTGCCAGCTGTCCTCCTTCTCATCACTTCTTTTGCTGCCTTTATAAGGTGAACTGATCCATAATAGCATCTTTCTTTAAATGACATCAGTATAGTTACTAAGGTTCCTGAAACCTACTTGGTGTCTGCTGCCTATGCATCTTGAATCTGGTCCTTCACTCCCTCCAAAGAAGAGCTTGGACCTCAACATACAATTTTTTTTTTTAAATCTGCTTTGGTGGTTGTATTTTTATTGGTATTTTTTATTTTGTAGGAAAATAATGATGGCAATTGATCAGCTGAATGGCCTATTAGTTATAGCCAGCATAAAAGTGTGGCTTCTAACTTCTATTATTTATCTTAAATGGCATGAGGAAAAGGTCTTAATATGTTTAGGTGTGTTTTAATGGTGATAATCCTCAGTGGTACCAGTGCAGTGAGTAAGCTCAAGAATAAATGTGTCCTGCCTCACAAGCTTGGAGGCCAAGTTGGGTGTATTTTTATCGTTGTGCTTCTGTGGAGTTATTGCTTAAGCAAAACAGAATGTCTTCTTACTTCCAGTTACAGTTCGTCAACAAGGGAACATTTATTCTAAATTTAGATGACCTCTGTTGAAAGCTGGAGAAAATAGAAATGGATCCAAGTGCTTGTTAGTATGTATTTGAAGGGAAGTGAAATAAGACCAAGCATTATAGGAAGGCAATTAAAAATCCATTGGACTCACCTCTGAATTTTCTGGTAATAAAATATTTTGTACAGAGAAACCTTTGTATGCATGTGAGTACACTGTGGAAATTGCCAAGATATTTTTGCTCCTTAAGAATTATTTTTATATAAATGATATATTCAACGTAATTTTTGGAAAAAAAATCTAACCTCGCTATATTAGATAAAGGCAGAGTATTGAAATGCACCTTTATTTATTTTTGGGAAAATGGTTAGAATAATGTCCAAAGAAAAGACAAGTTTGGTACCCAGTGCTTGTTGTGATAATTGTATTCTACCTGTGTCCTCCCCTTGCAGTCTCAGAGTAATCTCTATTTCCTATTGTAGATTACTGGTTAGTGTCTGTTTTTTCTACCTTAAGAATACCTAGCTTGACAAAGTAAAGACAAGTCTAGGGAGAGATGTCTGCTGTTAAGAAAAACTAAAATTCCATCAGATAATTCAGAATTTTAAACTGGCTCTTTTTCTGTTATGATTTCAATTAAATATCCAATTCTATTGTCTGGACATATTTTAAAATACATTATGCCACTGCACATGTATCCTAGGAAATAATATATTAACCAACAACATAGCCCTAACAAATGGGTTCCATAAGGGATGTGTTTAGAGAACGGATGTGAAGAAAAAGGGCAGAAAGATTGATCTTTACATGTGATTGAATTTTAAAATCCAGTAAATAAAACTTATGGAACTTTCCCAGAGCTTTTAACTTGCTGCATATGGTTGTAAGGATATTGTGCTTTCAAAATCCAATGGGTTGA